AGCTCTGAGAAAACATCAGAAAATTCATACTGGAGAGAAACCTTACAAATGTACAGAATGTGGCAAATCCTTTACCCAAGACTCACATCTTAAAACACATCAGAGAGTTCACACTGGAGAGAGACCTTATATTTGTAAGGAATGTGACAAATCTTTTACCAGGTACTCATATCTTAGAGCACATCAGAAAATTCATACTGGAGAGAAACCTTACCAATGCAAAAACTGTAATATATCCTTTCTCCGGATTTCTAGTCTTAGAATACATCAGAAAATTCATACTGGAGAGAAACCTTACAAATGCCAAGACTGTGATGTATCATTTAACCAGATTTCGAATCTCAAAAGACATCAGAAACTTCATACTGGAGAAAAACCTTACAAATGTATAGAATGTGACAAATCCTTTACTCATAATTCAAATCTTAGAACACATCAGAGAGTTCACACTGGAGAGAAACCTTACAGATGTACCGAATGTGACAAATCTTTTACTAGGTGTTCCTACCTTAGAGCACACCAGAAGATTCATATTGGAGAGAAACCTTACAAATGCAAAGACTGTGACAAATCCTTTATCCACCTTTCAAATCTTAGAAGACATCAGAGAGCTCATACAGGAGAGAATGTTGTAAATAATGTAACATAACATTTATCTGGTATTCTTTCTGCTTGCAAATCTCAACAATATACATAATAGAAACATAAGAAGAGACTTGTAAAAAGCTTTTAATGAAGTTTTAAATCTCAGAAAATATGACAGTTTATGTTACAATAAAAGTTCGCAATGTAATTGTGTGAAAAGCTTTCTTTGTTTGTTTGTTGGGGAGTACTTTCCCTCTTGTATCACTGCGCTACATGTGTACCTGGTGCCTGTGGAGGCCAGAAGGGCCTATGAGATCCCCTGAACCTGGAATTATAGACAATTATTTGTGTTGGGATTTGAATGCCAGTTATCTTTAAGAGGAGATAGTGACTTTATCTAAGCCCTTTCTCTAGGTCCTGGGGAAAGTTGTAATAAAAACATCATGTTCAACATCCAGAAATTCATAACAATTACAAGCAAGGTGTTCCATGCCTTTAACCTCAGCACTCAGTAGGCAGAGGCAAGATCTCTGTGAATCCCAGGCCATTCTGGTATGCATAGTGGGTTCCAGGACAGCCAGACAACATATACCCTGTCTCAAAAAAAAAAAAAAAATCATAATAAGGACAAAATTTAATAAAATTCAAAGTGTGACAAAGACCTCTAATTGTTCATCACAAAGTTAATACTTCTGAGAAACCATGTAACTTTACTATATATACAATTGCCATGTCTTGCTTTTCACTGGAAAGAACCCCCACCAAATGAATAGAATTTGAAAAGTCCTTTATCTAAGTGCTGAAATTGCCGACATAAAAGAAAATTCATGAGAGAAAACACAAAAAATGCTTTCATAAAGTCTCATCTTTCATACTAGAATCAAACTTTTCAAGTAGCAAAAAAGTTAAAAATGTAAAGAGATGGATAAACTGCATGTGGAATCACAGGCATGCTCAAGGGTGCTGGATTTGACAGCACATGCCTTTAATTCCAGCTCTCCGGAGGCAGAAGCAGGTGGGTGTTGTGAGTTCAAGGTCAGCCTGGTCAAGAAAAATCTGTGAGGGCATGTGGAAATTCACTTTGAACTATTGAAGAAAAAATGGGAAGTATTTGTTTCACCCTCTAATTTCATATCTTTATTCTATCCAGCCTTTCTTCCTGCACCTCCCCTCTACTGGTTCATTGATAGCTTCCTATCTTCTACATACAGTCTCTCTTAAACAGAACAGAAACTTTGAAGCTAAGACCAACATGAGAGGAAACGTGTTTGTTGGGAGCTAGTGCCCTCCTACCTCAAGTGTATGCAATCAGTAAGGACTGCTGGCACCATCAGACAAGCTGAGCTGCACAGAAGGTCTCAGACCACCTATGAAGCAGGCAGGAGTCGAGCTGCTTGGACCAGACTAGACAAGACGAGCTGTCTGGAGGAGGTAGTGGGTGGCTTGAAAGACACACCTCCGCCCTCAGATGAGCTGTCTGCAAGCTGTGCAGTGATCCCGGTTTTCCAGCCCCGTAGCCATCACTCTTACAGGAGGAGGCAGCTGTCCTTGAGTCTTTTGTGCTTATATCAATAGCCCATCACCCACACTCTTGTAAGTCACCCAGTAAATCTCACTGGTCATTTAGCGATATCCCAGCAGTTAAGAGCACTGTCTGCTCTACAGAAGACTCACTTTGGATTCCCAGTACCCTCACATGGGCATACAATCTGTAACCTCAGCTCCAGCGCACCCAAGGCCTCTGGCCTCTGCAGACACTAGGAACACATGTGGCACACAGACATGCATGCAGACAAAACACCCCTAACAAAGCAACCATATTGGTTCACCAAGTTGGACTTTGTTTCTTTATCTGGGATAAGTAGATGATTGTCATAGTTTACACAGGAATACTGTCACACATCAGTGCTGTAATCGGGTCACACAGAAGTTTTCTTTCATTTATCCTTTTCTGTGGGGAGCATCTAGAGTGGTTACAAAAGTTGATTCTCTGTTCTTGATCTCATAGCAATGTATGACTTCCTTTCCCCACATTTATACCAACATTAGCCATCATTTCTATTCCAAATGGCTGACATTGTAGCTAGACTCACATGAAAGCTTAAGGAGCTCTAGTTTGCATTTCCTTGAGGGGTATATAACATTTTTATGTTTGGATTAATTTTAGTTTGGCTTTGTTGTGGTGGTGTGTTCATTTGTTTTATTTTTTTTCTTGCTTTGTTTTACATTTTTAATTTTTAATTTATTATATAATTAGAACATTTCTCCCTTGTTTCTGAGTTAGTAAAAGAACAAGACCCCCAACCATCTAGAGGTGCGGTGTGAGATGAGGTCAGCCCTGGGCTGACTATCCACTTCTTGAGACATCTATTTCTTGTTAAAAATCCAATTTCTTGAAATGTCTCTGCCCAAGTCACAATTGTAGCATTTTATTTTGGCTTGTCGTGTCTGTGTGTTCGGGATGGGACTCTGGCTTCTGGATTTAGCCCATTATTATTTGGTGTAGGCAGTCAAGGCAAGGGTTAGGATGCCTATCTTGTGTCTGAAGGGGTCAGAATTCACTGTAGCTGTCAGATATCTGGGTGCAGCTTTCTACCCGATGCGGTCTGGTCTACCCTGTCATTCTGTGGGAAGGGTGTGAAGACTGGGTCCACGGCAGTTTGACAGCCAGAGCTTGAGACACAGTGGGAACACTAACCAGGAAACAGAGGTTGGGAGGAGGCTGGCCGTTAGGTAGGTGTTGAAGTGTGTAGAGTGAGAGGGGTTAGAGGAGTGAATGAATGGCAACTGGAACAGCAGTTGAAAGAGACCCAGGGAGTGGGGCAGGGACCCATTCCCGGACGGCGCTCCAGGGCCTGCACTGTAGGGAATTGCGTGGTGCAGACCTGGGTGCGGTAGATACGGCGGCGTGGGGCGGGGGTGGGAGTCCTGAGGGACTCCCCCTAAGCCGCACGTGTTTGGCGGAGCAGCCCGGGAAAGCCAGCCTGGCGGTGGCAGCAGCTGCAGCCCGGTGGCCCTGGAACCTGCCCAGCGCAGGGAAGCTGTGCAGCTGGAAAGCCGGCTGGAAGGAAGCAGGTCACTGTGTAATTCAAATTCTGATTTCTGTATCCCTCTTATCCGGTTGCAAGCCTTGTTCTGCGAAATTCTCGTCTCAAAGCTGTGTAAACACTACTCACCAATTGTCCTCGGACGTGCCAATAAAGCAGCTGATAGCCAATCACTGGGCAGAGGAGAAAATGGGGCTGGACTTCCTGCCAACCGAAGGCTTCGATTCTCCTAAAATGTGTCCACAGCTAACATTTGAAAGGTAAAGCGAACCGTTTCCTTTCCTAGACTGGTTGTGGGCCTGCGTGAGGCCAGTGCAGGTGAGTACAGTAATGTCGGTTACTGATTGCAGTAGTTGCACGGGGTCTAAAGAAGGTCATGTTTTGGCCCTTGCCCCCTTTCTCTTATTTTCTAACCACTTCATCCTCAGTGTTCCCAGAACCACACCGCTGGATGGTGGAACTGGCGTTTTAGGGCATTTGGAAAAGCCAAGAATCTCTCCGTCCACCATCGCATTTTTTTTTTTTAAAGATTTACTTATTATGTATACAATGTTCTGTCTGCATGTACACCTTCATGCCAGAAGAAGGCAGATCTCATTATAGATGGTTGTGAGCCACCATGTGGTTGCTGGGACTTGAACTCAGGACCTCTGGAAGAGCAGCCAGTGCTGTTAACCTCTGAGCCACCTCTCCAGCCCCCACCATCGCATTTTTAAAAAGAACCTTTCTATGTTTTATCGCAGAGCACCTTTATCAAGAGCCACAGACGACAAACTTTTGAGTTAGTAAAACGACAAGGCCACCATCTACTGGTCAAAGCATGTAGCGCGGAATCCAACCCTTAGCTGTTCGCATACTTCTAGATAAACACGTTTCTTTCCCAAACCCTAGCTCTGAAATGTCTCTCCCCAAGTCACAATCGCAGCCTTTGGCTTTGGCTTGTCGTTTCTGTGTGTTGGCGACGGGACTCTGGCTTCTGAATTTAGCTTGTTATTGTTTAGTATGAAGTTTGTAGCCCAGAGGCCGGTAGTCCAGTGGAAGTGTCGGGCTGCCTACATTTTACCTGAGGGGTTTAGAACTCCCCGTGGGGGTCAGATGTAGGGGTGCAGTGTCTTACTAGATCCAGGTCTAGGCTGGCAGCAAGCATGTGGGGAGGTTGTGCAGAGCCGGTCCAAGGCAGCCTGACAGCTGGAGCTGTGTGGAAGGGGGAATGAACCAGAGAGTGTGAGGGATGGGTCTCCACGGCAAAGGGACACGGGTCTAGATCAGAGGAGTGAGGAGGAAAAAGAGCAGACTGGGGAGGCCTGGAAAACCCAGTTGGACCGATGAATTGAACCGGTGGGGGTGGGAGGAAGAGGAAGGGTCCCAGCGCTCACGTAACCGGAACTGTCTGTGATGGGCGGGACCAAAGGCGGTTCCAAGGACTACAGGAGGGAGGGACCTCAGGCCAAGTGTGTGCGGCTCCGGGTGGCAGGCGCGAGCGGGGGTCTCGGGTGGATGTGAAGACCAGTCAGCAATACAGTGGCGAGATAGCAGCCCTGGAGCCTCTCAGGTCAGAGTCGCTGCAGGGAACCAGGGAGGGACCGGATCAGGGGTTTGGTCAGTTTTTCTGCTGCTCATAGACTCTCCGCGCTCGCAATTTTGTTACAGGGTAATGCCCTTGAAGATAAGTTTGAGATCGTATGAAATGGGGCACATGCTAATTTTACCATTCATCTGCGGTTTCTAGGATATTCTCATAAACGTGTCTCTTAGACCAATTGAATTTGTGTGTTGATGTTTGCAAACGTGGTTCTTTTTGTTGTGCAAACACCAAAACTTTTGGCATTGAAATTCAAAATACTTTCTAACTCCCCTACTCTACCCCTTTCCTATTAAAGAGAGTGGCATTGGACATGAAGATTCGACGGTCTAGAGCTTGTTAACTCAGTCCTGTAAGGAATAACTGCAAATTTTGATCAGGTCGATTTTTTTTAACCAAGCTATAGAGTTATGGTTGTAACTCTTAACATTTATTTATTAAGTAAACATTTTTATTAAGTAAAAAGTTTATTTTTACTCAACACCAGTTTTCCATTTGAGATACGTACATTCTGTTGTAAATATAACAAAATATGTGTTCTTAAGGTTTTAAGGCACACCTGAGAGTACAGAAAAGTACAGTACGTATGTTGAGAGTGGGGATACCAGGCCACACTGTTTTCACACTTAGAAAACGGTGCGTATTAGGGCAAAGTTAGGATGTAACTTCTGGTAGAGAAACGCATTCTGACCATAGCCAAATGGTTGCTTTTTCTTTCAGTGTTGACACGCAGTGAAGAGGGACATGGCTGGAGCCTGCTCATAGGGTTTTGTACTGGGATCAAAAGTTGAGGAATTGCAGCAGTCCAGTTTCTGTGGGTGAGAACAGTTTTCTTGCGGCCTCCCTTCGCTCCCGGGGTTCTTGTGAAAATGGCTCTGTGTGTGAATGAGCATCACATCTCACAGAGGAAAGTGAAATGCTCAGGGGAAAAGACAGAATCTTCATGAAATTTCAGCTGTTCTTCCTGTTTGTCCTTTTGGAAGGTGTAAGGCTTTTTTCATTTTTGTTACGTGATGAAATCCTATACCCAGCAATGTGTAATACCACTAGTGATGCAGCTCCATTCCTGCCTTGAATTTTGATCGAGCTGTGATTAGAAGTGGGATTCAAGTAATGGAAACTCAGAATGCTTCCTCAGTGCTGTCTGTGTGACAGCTGGGGGATTCTTTGTAGAATCCTCTATTTCATGTTCTCTGTTTCTGCTGAGCACAGCACTTGTGTTAGAAATCCTGAAGAAACTTTTTCTCATATGCAGGTCTCACACCGTTCAGCCCGACCTCATCCACAGAGCAGGTCAAAGAGCCCTGGGAGGTGGAGAGAGAAGCAGCAGTAGCAAAGGATCTGGGCAGGAAGAAGGTATCGACAAAGGGGTGGAAAGGAGCTCAAGTGACAGGGAAAGCTGGACATGTAATCGGTTTTGCTACATTCTGTTTCACTAGAAATGATTCTGGAGAATTCTGCTGAGAATAGTCTTCTCAGGATTATACTGTTGAAGGCGTTAGAGGAGTCTCTATGTAAAAATTATATACTAGGAACAATGATTTAATTTTGAATGTGAGTGATGGCGCCCCTCTTCCATTAATGTAGATTTCCCATCACGGGTTGTACAGCCCGCTATCTCGGAAATGACTGTTTTATGTTGTCAACAAAGTTTCTCTGGCCCAGGCTAACAGCAGTACCAGGCTGTGAATGTGAACAGAACAAGCCGAAAGCCAGTTTGAGTATTTGAACATGTAACAAAATGTCAGAAGTGCATTCTTTCCTAGGGCCCGTTGCTTCCCAGTTGTAGGCTTTTGGCCAGCCTTTCTGTCTATTTCCTTCTGTGGAGCTGGCCCCAAATCCAACCACAAAATGTTACTGTTACACCGCTGTTCGTACCTTGCTCAGTGGGTAAGGATTTTAGCACCCGGGGTTCACATCAGGGAATGGCCAGTGATGGCCTTTTACCCCAGCAACCCACACAGCCCCTTTTGGGAGTGTGGCAGCTACTGTCAGGGAGTCCTTGATATTACTTTAGACACTGAGTGGTCTGCTGATTTCTCGGCTTCTTCTGGCTATGTAAAACACTAGCTGATTTTTGTGGATTGTGATTTTGTGAGTGTGTGAATTTTATAGTTTATTAAGTCGGTTATCAGAGCCGAGCTTTCTCATGAGACATACAAAGTTTTTGAATTTCAGAATTCTCTTTTTTTCCTTATAGGGTAACTTGCTTTTGACGTTCTTGTATTGTCCCCTGTAAGCTTTTCTCTCCCCTTCTTTGTCTGGATAACCCTTGATACATGGTGTTGAGTTGAGGTGGAGGGAGTGGACATCCTTGTCTCTGTCCTGAGAGGAATCTCGATTCCAGTTTTCCTCACTGAGTGTAATGTTGGGTGTAGGTTTGTGGCTTCTAGTATTTATGGTGTTGAGGTATGTGTCTTCAAGAGCTTTCATAATGGGCAAATGTGGAATTTTGCTATAGGCTTTTTATGGGTTGATTGTTCATGTTTCTTCTCTCACTGAGTGTAGATATTTGCTGTTTTACGATGATTGTTTTGTATTATGTGTTTCTGAAACACTTGCGTTCCTGGCATGCAGTCAACCTGAGTTCCACTTCTGCATAGTTCAGAGAGAGTCTCTGTGTTCTTTTCTACACTGATAACTGGTCTGTGATTCTCCTTTGCAAATGCTTGTCCTTATCTGCTTTGGGTATTAAGTTCTTTTTTTGGGGGTGGGGCATATTAAGTTCTAAAGCAGCCTTGAATGATATGTTGTTCCTTTAGTGAATTTAGTGCTGAATCTCTCTAGTCTGGGAATATATTTAGAAGAAATTATTAATGCTTAAATCCCATTATCTGTGTAAGGTCTATTCTAGTTTTATGACAGAGAAGATTGTTTCTAGGAACTCATCCTTTTCTTCTACATTTCCAATTTATTTGGCATGAGTTTCCGCAGCACTTCATGAAGCAATACGGGTGTCCGTGGTTCCGCCCTACTTTCCAGCTTGCAGGGATTTGCTCTCTTAGATCAGGTTAGTTAAGAATGCTTTGTCAGTACTTTTACTTCTTCACAGCAACAGGTCTGTTGCATTGACTCCTGGGCATTGTTCATTTAGTCTCCACTACACTGATTTCCACATGGCCTTTCTAATAGCTTCCTGTGTCTTAGTTCAGATTGACTTGTTCTATGCTTGTAAGCCCTTAAGCACACAATTATGGACAAATGTGTTTTACAGCCAGAGCTTCTTGCTTGCCAGAGCTTCTCTGTATGTCTTTGTTACCCACTTCTGTATGAGTGTCTTTCATGACCTCACATTCACCCTGACATTCTCAGAAGCTGTTCGCAGTGCCACATGAATTCTGTCTCGTTGTTCAATGATTTAAGTCTTCATCATAGCTAATTAAGGAACAGTATAGATGAGAGGCTGGAGACGTAGCTCTGCAGTTAAGAGTACTTGATGTTCTCAAAGAGAATCGTGGTCCAGTGCTCAGCATGGATGAGATAACAGGGCAAGAAAGAACTTACACTGCTAGTGTGGGAAGAAATGTGGAGCCTGGATATGTGACAGGACAGCTGACACCTCATGTGAGATGATATGATATGATATGATATGATATATGATATGATATGATGATATCAGAATTAGAAATGATCCCTACGGATGATAAATAAAGTGGTTTGTGTTCCTGGGGCCCAGAGCTGGAGAGACTCCTGTGCCCATTGTAATGTGCCGACCCAAGGCTTATCATATTGATGGTGTAGTTAGGAACACGACAGTGACTTTTATGAGGATCCACCCTAATTATGGAAGAATTTCTAAAACAAGAAGACGCTTTCACTCATCCCATCTACCGAGAAGTCTGCTATGGGAGGAAAGTGAGTTGTACCAAGTGCCACGGTTTTCTTATTCTGTGTTATAACTGCAGGTCCCCAGATCATCAACCTCCCCACTGATCATCAGGTGTGTTGTAGGAAGAACGTGTTCTCGCTGTAAAAGTTTATGATCACCAGACAGGATTTGGCATCCGCAGTAGTAAAATACGTTGGCTTGCGGGTTGCATGTTAGTTGTGCCCTAAGTCACACTCACCGTAGTCTCCCACGCTGATCACATGTGAAATGCATCGAAAGCAAACACATTGAGTGCGTTCCCATTCTCACTGTCCCACGCCCACTTCAGTGCTGTGGTTTGCAGTTGAGCCGAGAAGATCCTGAAGGTCGCTGCATACTCTCTGAGGAGAGTTGGCTGCAAGTTGGGAGCTTCTGAGGTTGCTGCATTTTTACCTTCATTTCTACACTGCCGTCAAATTCTGTGTTGCTGCTCTGAATTTCTCTGACCCCATGGGACCGCCTGTAGAGGGGCTCATCCTATGTATGGTCAGGGTTCTGCAGAGGAAAAGAACTGAAAAAGCGAATCTACATGTAGATATAGAAAGGGATTTTATTGGAGTGGGTTATGGGCTGTGGTCTAGCTCGTCCAACCAATAGATGAGAATCCAGTAGTTGTTCAATTCAGACGGCTGGGCGTCTCAGCTTGTCTTGTATACACTGGAATCTTTGAGAAGTAGTCTCTAATGAACTTGACAGTGGGAGCAAAGGCAAGCAGGAAAAGAGAACAGCTTCTTTTTCCATGTCAGTTATGTAGGCTGCCAGCAGAAGGTGTGGCCCAGGTTAAAGGTAGATCTTCCCACCTGGAAAGATCCATATTAAGAGTGGGTCTCCTCAATGGGTGGTGGTAGCACACACCTTCAATCCCAGCACTGAGGGGCAAAGGCTGGTGGCTTTCTGTGTGTTTGAAGTGGTCTACAGAGCTAGTTCCAAGAGAGTCAGGGCTACACAACGAAAACCTGTCTCAGGGGGGAAACCTGGGTCTTCCCACTTCAAATGATTTGATTAAGAAAAAAAAATCTCTTTCATGTGTACACAGCCACTTGGATTTTAGTTAATTCCAGATGTAGCCAGGTTGACAACCAAGAACAGCCATCCCACCCATTTCCGTTGCTGCTCATCATATCCCCCTTCTGTTAGTTTAAAAACAGTAAATTCTTAATGGAGATCTTGAAGTATGTCTGTTTCCTTTTTCAGATTTGAGGATTTCTCACCTTATCGCCCTGTATTGTAGATGTCAGAACTACAATCTGCTTTTGTCTTGTTTCTGTTTTGATTTTGTTGTTAGTAGTATGAATTTCTTAAGTTCACATAGCTGCCATTCTTCTGCATTAGCTCATTGAGTATCTTTTTAATTCTTCAAGTAAATCACATGTATCCATGGCTGATTTCTAGAGATTTATTTTACCTGTCTCATTTATTTTGATTCCTTTGAACACTTTCTAGACTCTGGTTTACATGTGATTATTTAAGAGCTTTGCACATGTCTGTTATGTCAGTATTGTGGAAAATAGTAAAGATTTTTCCAAATCACAGGGAATAAACATGGAATGCCTTTGTTCCATTATTGATCTTAGACTGCCATTCTAAGGGGCAGTCCTTAGTAGGATGCACCTTATCAATGCCCCTCCCTCCTCTTTTCCCTGACAGCCATCACATGGGTCTGCCATGCTCTCCACTTTAATGAGTCTGCCTTGACGTTGCCTAAAGCAATTTAGCACACAGACATTCCACTTAAACCATATATGTTTTAAACCATAAACAAATTTCATGTAGTTTCAGAAGGGTTGCAGGTGACAGATAGTCTCACACAGAGGTGCAAACACAAGTAATAAATAGAGAACAGGTCCCATCTTGAGAAGTAAGTTGGAAAGGTACACTTTACCTGGCTGAGCAATGCGGGGGCTGCTTAGATGGCGCTGAGGTTGACTGTAACTAGATCTGATGGCAAGTGTGCCATATTGAGAAGAAACATGTTTGCCAGATAGACGGAGCCACTGCATGTGTCTGTTCTCCAAGAGACAGGTTACACATGGCGAATAATGTGATCAAAGAATCAGATACTGTATTTTCTAGGTATTTTCTACTGTCTAGAATAAGCTCACAGCAATGTGCAATGATGGAAAATTTTAGAACCGCCTTTTCTCAGGAAATGGCTGGTCAGGGATTGTGATTGTGTTCATATTGGAGAAGATTCTCTACATTTGTGCAGGGTGCATAGTCTTCTCTTGCTCTCTGTCAGTTTGGAAACAGTCCTTTTATTGAGCTGTGAGCTTGTGACAGTGTCAACAAAATCCGCACTCTTGCCATATAAATGACATATGAAGAATGCAGTGCTGGATTGTTCATTTGTGATAGTCTCCTGTTTCAAGGCTGTGTCATTGTTTCCCTTTCCTCTATACAGCTTGTTCCTGAAGAGCAACTATGTGTCACCTTTCTTTCCCAGCCTAACTACTGCCACTCTATACAGCTCATTCCTGAAGAGCAACTATGTGTCAGCTTTCTTTCCCAGCCTAACTACTGCCACTCTATACAGCTCATTCCTGAAGAGCAACTTTGTGTGAGCTTTCTTTCCCCGCCTAACTACTGCCACTCTATACAGCTCATTCCTGAAGAGCAACTATGTGTCAGCTTTCTTTCCCAGCCTAACTACTGCCACTCTATACAGCTCATTCCTGAAGAGCAACTTTGTGTGAGCTTTCTTTCCCAGCCTAACTACTGCCACTTTATTCCCCACATCCATCCAGAGCTCGTTTTGCTCTCATGATGTTCTATCTAGAGCAGTGGTTCTCAAACTTCCTAATGCTGCAACCCTTTAATATAGTTCCCTCATGTTGTGGTGACCCCAATCATAAAATTATTTTGTTGCTACTTCATTAATGTAATTTTGCTATTCTTATGAGTCATAATGTAAATACCGAATATGCAGCGTACCTGGCATTGTGACTCCCTAAAGGGAGAGAACCGTTGGCCCAAGACTCACCTTCACACTGATGTACATAAGAATGGGCTCAGGACATGGTAGAAAACTTGCAGGCTCCCCCCCCCCTTCTTTTTAGGAACTACATTTCTGATTTTAATTCAAAGATCATGATTGTAATTTTTTTTTTGCAGCAAAATAAAATTCCACCATGTAAATTCATTTTGTTTCCTTTTCTGTTGCTGGGCATCTAGGCTGAGTTCACTTCTTATCTCCTTTGATTAGAGTAGCAATAAACCCGTGTGTGTTTTTAGTAGGACTTGAGAACTGTGTATATGTCTCACTTTTGGTATGGTGGGTAATACAGTGGTTGAGATTTGGGGTTTTGCAAATTCCAAAATGATTTCTACAATTTTTTACTGGTTCACAGTTCCTTAAGGAATGAATGAGGATCCCACTTTTCCATTTCTTCAACTGCATTTGTTGTCTTTTTTCTTTCTCTTTGTTGTTTTTTTGAGACAGAGTCTCTCTGTGTAGGAACTCACTGTTTATACCAGGCTGGCACCGAGTCACAGAGAGCCACCCGCTTTTTCCTCTGGAGGAGGAGGAAGTGCATCCCTGCGACCCCTTCTCCACTTTAGCCATTCTGCATAGGGTAAGAAGGAGCAGCAGTTGGTTTTGAGTGTGTAATTACTTCATGGCTAAGGATGTTAAACACTTTTTTTTTTTTTTTTCCAGAGCTGAGGACTGAACCCAGGGCCTTGCACTTGCTAGGCAAGTGCTCTACCACTGAGCTAAATTCCCAACCGATAAATACTTTTTAAAAAATGGCTGGCAGCCTGGCAACGGTGGTGTGTGCCTTTGATCACAGGAGGCAGAGGCAGGCGGATCTCTGAGTTTGAGGCCAGCCTGGTCTACAGTGCAAGTTCCAGGACAGACAAGGATACACAGAGAAAGTGTCTCAAAAAAGGAAAAGAACTCAGTGACATCTTTGTAGGGTCCTCCTTTTCTCACAATGTCATGTCAGGGATTTTCCTTTTTTTTTTTTTTTTTTTTCATTTTATCTTATTATTTTTTATTTTTATTTTACTTATATATTTTTCTCTATTTTTACCTCACAGGCCCTTTGGGTGTATATTAATATTATGGCTTACAATTTAATGTTTTTATGAGATTACTGAGTGTTCGAACTACTGGGTCTCTGTTTCTTGTGTCTTCTTTTGTTGGTTTTATCTAATTCTGATGTGTTAGTTTTCCCTTTCCTTTATTACATTATGTTTTTATTTTTTCATTATCTCTTAGGAACCTTTTTGTTTTCTGATGAGAGACAGGAAGGAGCGGATCAGGATGGGAAGGGAAGTGGGGGACTGGATGGAGTGGAGGGGAAACTGTATTCAAATGTACTGTGGGCGTGGTGGTTTGAATGGCATGGCCCCTAGACCCACGTGTGTGAATGCTTGGCTTTAGGGAGTGGCACTGTTAGGAGTTGCGGTCTTGTTGGAGTAGGTGTGTTGGAAGTCACTGTGGGGCGGGCTGTGAGGTCTCCTATGCTCACCCATGCCCAGTGTGGCACACAGCCCCCTTCTGCAGCCTGTGGATCAAGATGTAGAACTCTCAGCTCCAACTCCAGCACCACGTCCGCCTGCGCGCCGCCATGCTTCTCGCCGTGACGATAGTGGACTAAACCTATGAATGTGTAAGCCAGCCCCAGTTAAACATTTTCCTTTATAAGAGCTGGCGTGGTCATGGTGTCTCTTCACAGCAGTGGAAACCTTAAATAAGACAATGGGAGAAAAAAAAAATCTATTTTCAGTGAAAGGCAAGAACAAAACACAAAACACTTGTTCTTACAGAGGTCCTGGATTTGTTTCCCACAGTCTACATGATAGTTCACAGTTGTCTGTAATTCTAGGTACAGTGCATCAAATGCACTCTGATCTCTGTGGGCACCAACCTTCACATGGTGCACATTTATACATGCAGGGCAAACATCCATACACAATCAATCAATCAATCAATCAATCAATCAATAATTCTTTAAAAATTAAAGAATGCACAATGTGTATACACAGATGCGTTGGCTTCTGTGCTTTTTCTTCTGATGACTGCCTTTTCAAACAAATATTCATTAACTTTATTTTACGCTACTTGTGTGTGCGTGCATGTATGTAGCCCTGGCTGTCTTGGAACTCAGCCTGTAGACCAGGCTGGCCTCAAACTCAGAGATCCACCCAAATGCTGCCTCCCAAATGCTGGGATTAAAGATGTGTGCCGCCACTGTCTTGTTCCTTGGTCTTTTTAGAGCTATTATGAATGGGTTATTTTCCTACTTTGATTCACAACACCCCATTATTGGTACATTAAAAAAATGAATTACTTTTCTATTTTAATTGTGTATTCTTCAATATTATTTGAAGTATCTGTCAAGTGTAAGAGTTTCTGATGGTGTCTGTTGGAAGTTTTGTGTCTATAATCATATCATTCTTTACTATTTGTATTTTTTTCAAATTTCTTAGCTTTTATAATTCTTTATTACGTAAAACTGCAGAGTGCATGCATTCTTTTCTTGTTACAGCTTCTGAAGCGATACTGTCCATTTATTTCTTTCTGCTATAATGTTGGCCTAGGATTGAGACGTATACCTCTTACTGTGTTGAGCTGGGTTCCATTTATTCTTAGTTCTCTTAGAAGTTTTATCACAAATTTTGTTAAGCTTTGTCCAATGACATTTCCATGCGCTACTGAGATTTTTATCACATGATTTTTATTCCCTGTCATACTTTTGATACGGCTGCTTGGATTCTAGGTAGTGTTTTTGTTCTTTCCTTGTTATAATTCGTAGTTTTCTGGTTTGATGTGTTGGATAGACAGAGTCGGTTACTCCCCAGCTCTCCTCTACTCCTCACATGAAATATTTTATTTCCTGTACTTTCCTGGATAATTTCTTTCCACTGTTCTGGGTATATTTTGCCTCTATTATTTGCAGTGACTTGAGTGGAATGAGATGTGTTAATTCATGAGTATCTTCAAATGCACTTCTCTCTCAATTTTCAGAGAAATTTTCTGGCTACAGTAAGATGGTTGACAGTTACTTTTTGGTTTTGGGGTCTTTTTATGTGGTTTGACAATGTTCCTTAACAGAGTTTAGCATTAGCTTTTGTTTTGCATTTTTGATACCTGATATGAAAGGGCAAGAAGGTCCAGTCATTGTTCCTGAAACAGAAACTCAGAGCAGAGCAACAGGAAGAAATGGCCACTTCTTCAGTAAGAGCATCCCAGGTCAGTATCATCTTCACTTTGTTTTTTGTTTTGTTTTGTTTTGTTTTGAGAACTGTTATATATTTAAACCTTGCAAGCCTTTCTTTCTCTGCTTCTGATAATGTTGTCTGAAGTATTTGTTTCCCATGAATTCCTTTGTTGGCATTAGTTTTTTTTTTTAACTCTTTTATTTACGTTTCTTATATTTCTTTCTCCCTACTCCACCCCAATCCCTTCCAACACCCCAACACCACATAGGAGAGAGAAAGGCTTAGTGGGAGAGGGGGAGCAGTTTTTTTTTTTTTTTTTTTTTTAGCTTCCTGCTGGTCAGGGTCAGGTTCGTTGGAGCCAGTCCAATCCTCCTTTCAGGATATCTCCATCTTCTTGTTTCACAACAGAAACTAGGAGCAGCAAGGGAGAAGCAGGAGCAGCCTTGCTCTTTCTCCCCTCTCCATTCTCTGGGCTCTGGCATTTATTCTCTCTTCATAGTCCTCGGATTTAAACTATCTGCAGCTGGCAAAGAGCCCCTCTCAGAGCCCGCATGAGGCAAATAGTCTGCTGCCGTGGACTCTCTGAATCCTGGGACCAAAACGAAAACATGTTTATATCCACAACATTCCTTTTTCTTCTGATAGTCAGGATTCACTCTTTAAATGCATGTCTACTGTATGTGGCACCTTTTTTTTTTCTTTCCCTCTACTCAGCCCTCTCCAGACTCTTTGTGGGAGGGTAAATATTCACAATAAAAATAAGACCTATGTTTCTATTGTGACAGGTAGTCAAACAACTATATTGTTTTGGGTTTTTTTTTTTTTTGGCTAACTATATTGTTTAATTGCTACGTAGAATAGATTTGTGCACTTATCTGTTAGTTATGAAGGCCTCATGCCATGTAGGTTCCATTTGAGGGATGTTAGTTTTCTTGGACTATGCTTATGAAGGTGCACATTCAAACACCTTGAACTCCTTGCTAGACTCGCTAGTAATTTTTTTTTTTTTTTTTAAATCAAAGACATGGTATTTGGATCCTAAACTGGATTCTAATGCTAAATAGTTAAACTCTGTAGAGGGTACTGAAGATGGCAGGCATAGGTGCCTTGACCATGCCATGAAACTGATGTTTCTGTGAGGAGGTGCAGATTGTAGTCTGGTTTGTCTGTCTGTTTTGGCACTGGATATCACATAATGGTGATGTTCCTGTGTTTGTTGACACTGGACATCTATTTGTCTCGGAGAGTTTCTGCTCACATCATTCAGTTGATTCCAATGCTCAGCGGTAATCTCCCAAACTAAGAGATGAGTATTTTCTCTTGGTTCTTTTTGTGTTTTCAGACAGCTATCCATGGTGTAGCCTCCCCTGACGGTGAGTTTTTGTGACACCATGTGGAATATATCAGTAAGACTTTTCTTGAGTGTGTTGAGTGAGCAATGTACATGAGCCATCACATTTCATGCAGAAATGAAGATTCTTCCTAATTTCTTTGCTCTGATCTCTTCCTGTGGAGGAAGCTGGCTCTTCCATCACCCTCCCCCCCCTTTTTTTTCTTTTGCTAACTTTACTGTCTTTTTTTTTTTTTTTTTTTTTACTTGAGACAAGGTTTCACTTTGTAGCCTTGGTTGTCCTGGAACTCACTCTGCAGGTCAGGCTGGCCAAGAACTCACAGAGATCCTCCTGCCTCTACCTCCCAAGTACTGGTATTAAAGGCGTGTGCCGCCACCACCACCCAGTGGAGCTACTGTTTTTCATAGGTGGAGCATTAGGACAAACTGCTGTGATGGACAAATTTACTTTTTTTTATTTGGAGTTGGTGGATGTTGTTTCGAGACAGAGTTTCACTGTGTAGTCCTGGCTGTCCCGGGACAGAACTCTGTAGATCAGGCTGGTCTCACAGAGATCTGCCTACCTCTGCCTCCTCAGTGGCGGGACTAAGGGCATGCACCACCACATCTGTCCCAGGTTTATTTTTTTCTTTGGAAATATTTTTTATTTTATGTACATGAATGCCTGCCTGCCTGGTTGTGCCTGGTGCCTATAGAGGCAAGAAGAGAGCTCTGGATCACATGAAACAAGAGTCAGGCTGTAATGAGCAGCCATGTGTATGCTGGGAACTGACCTGGTTTCCTCTGCAAGAACAGTAAGTGCTCTTAACCTGTAAATGGCACTTGCCTATGTAACTGCCAGTAGAGCTCAAATACATTACGTAAACTAAAAATTTGAAGTTATAATTTTTAAGTTTTCTTTTGAGCCCCTCTTAGGAGCAGTAACATAATTGAAAAGCAATGAACAGTTAGACTATTTTTGCCTGATTTAATTCATTCATTCCATCCACAGAAAGTCTTTAAACTTCTGAAATCATTTGTCTGTATTGGGTTGTATATACATTTAGGAAAAAATTTTATATGGCATCAACTATGGCTAATGCTCATTTTTTTTAAATTTATTTCATGGTTGCAAAATGTTCATTCAGGCAAAATGTTCTCACAGACTATGATTTCATGTGTTATAATGTTTGCAATATTGTCAGTATTGACTGTTGTTAGTCTTTACTGTGGAAAACTCTTTGACCTTAAATTTACCTGTGAATTCTGCCTTCCAAGCTCTTCCTCTGTTACACAAAAGTCCAGCACTGAACCTGAACCTTAGCGTCCCCACTAAGGTTGTTTTACTTTTAAGTACTTTTATTTTTCTTCCCCACTTCATAAAGGATCTCCCTGTGAAAATAGGGTCTCCAGGGTCTTGGAGGGAGCCCCGCAGCGGGCAGGGTTTCTTCAGCGTCACCCTGTTTTCAGTGTTGTGTGATAGGCTGGGGAGATGTCATACCTACGCGCAACTTGTACAAGTCTACTCAGCAGAAAGGAGCCCACGACACACCAGAGTATAAATGCTACCGGCGTGGCGAACCAGTGAATTTTTGGGGGGGTCTCTCATAGGAGTGTGAGTGAGAGGTTACTTAAAGGAATAGAAATTACTTAGAAAGCTGCGTCACCAAGGCCCAGGCCCGCCGCCGCTTGGTGACGTCTCTCAGATCCTGGAAACCCGGAGCACGCTGCACAGCTTGCCGGCAGCGCAGCAGGTTGGATGGCGTTTTTTCCCCGGTGGCTCATTTGGTCGCAACCCCTTCCAGGCTGCTCCGCCGGGGCTGCTAGGCTGGTCTCTGCTTCTTGCCGGTACCTGTGCTCAGCTGAGAGTCTTCTTTGCAGCTTGGCTTGTCAGGGTGGCCCTCAGGGGTCTTGACTGTTCATACACTCTTGGGAGGGAGGGACCGAATGGATTTGGTCAGTTTATGGACTGTTGTGAGTTGTCTACTTCCTGTTTTAATGAGGTGTTTTTCTGCAGGACAGGATGTTTCAGACTCTTGAGAAAACTGCTCTACAGCACACAAAGTTAGAACATACAGTTAAATTTTATTTTAATCTTACATGTATGGGTGGTTTTGCCTACATGTAAGTCTATGTACTACTTGCATGCCTGTTGTCCTCAGAGGTCCGATGAGGGTGACGGATCATGTGGAACTGGAGCCACGGGTGGTTATGAGATGTCATCTAGGCCCTGGGACCCAAACCCAGGACATGTGGAAGAACAAGCAGTACTTTTAACTGCTAAGCTGTATCTATGGCCCATCTAAAAAACATCTTAAGGAATAATTTTCCTGTCTCGTCTATATCACAAAAGTGTTCCTACATCCTTATACCTCTTTTATCTGGGAAAGCATACTTCCCATGGTAAAACTCTTAAATTTCCCTTACAGGCTCTGCTCACGTTTGGGGATGTGGTTCTAGATTTCTCCCAGGAGGAGTGGGAATGCCTGGACTCTGCTCAGAGGGCTCTGTACATTGACGTGATGTTGGAGAATTACATCAACTTCGTCTCTGTGGGTGAGGACAAAGTTTGTGTTTATTTGTTTGTTTGTTTGTTTGTTTGAGAAAGGGTTTCTCTGGGTAGACTTGGCTGTCCAGGAGCTTGCTCTGTAGACCAGGCTGGCCTCCAACTCACAGCGATCGGCCTGCCTCTGCCTCCCGAGTGCTAGTATTCTAGGCTAGTACTCATGCCTGGCTGAGTGAGAACATTTTTCTTGCAGAATTTCATCTTTTGTATTTACCTGGTTTATAGGTGTGTAAGTTCTCTGATGCTGTCTAGAAACCATAGGAAATTAGGAAAATTCTCATAACAAGAAAACTGAACTTCCTTGTGGAATTTCCTTAAGTCATATGGAAGAAAAAAACAAAACAAGTGCTCTTAGCTACTAACCCATCTCTCCAGCTCTCTTATCAAGTTGTTTGTAATTGTTTATTTGTTTGGGTTTTGGGGGGTATATTTTTGTTTGTTTGTTTTGAGACAGTTTCTCTATGAAGCCTTGGCTGGCCAACTCGCTTTGCAGACCAGGCAGATCCACCTGCCTCTGCCTCCCAGCACCTCCTGGTGTGCACCAACACTGCCTGGTCCCCCCTCCCCCACCAAGATTCTAATAAAGCACTTAATGTTAAAAGAAATGTAAGTGTGTGGCACAGAGCTATGCATTGCAATACACTTAGTAAACTGAATATTTTCATCTTAGTATTACATTAAACTATTCTTCAACTATTTCTGGAAGGAAAAGGAGATTTGAAAAGAGAAAAATATGTTAAGTATAATCCTTCAGAGAACTCTTTTCCCACAGTTCTTTATTTTTTTCATCATTTAATTGTCCCACCTTCTGCAAGTAGTGCAGTTTAGATAAGGATAAGAATTCTGTTATCAATCCCCTCAGGGTGATGGAGGTCAAAATGGAGGTTCTAGGCAACCAAAAATGCTACTGAAATGCCTCTACTAAATATTCTAAATAATTACTACTTGTCTGAGAGAACTGAAGCTGACATTGGCTATTGAATCTGTTATTGATCATGTGTCAATCCCTATTATTCCTAATTCTGCTCATTTCCCAGAGAACCATCACACGTGCGGTAAAAAGGAGAAGGTCTCAGATCAAGACCCAAAGCATATTGTCCACCAGCATGTGAACGTCCAAGAGAAGTTTTACAGATATAAGGAGCATGGCGAAATGATTTGTGAATCCTCCCAGTGTACGTCTTATAACACAGGTGACACTGCAGAAAACTGCAGCAAGGACACATGTGGTAACCACCGGGATGCCATTGAGTCCTCAACCCTAAACAGACCAAGAAGTGTGCACACTGGAGAAGAGCTGCTCAAATATAAGGACTGTGGCACGTATGTAAGTTTATGTTCCAACATTAGTCTGAATCAGAGTTTCCACACTATAAAGGTAGAGCACAAGTGTACAGAAAGTGACAGACTTTTGGGCTGTACACACAGACTTGTGCAGCAAAGAATCCATAGTGGAGAGGGAGCACACAATTGTGGGAAGTGCTTCAAGAGCTGCTCAAGCCTCAGGACACATCGTAGGCTTCATGCTGGAGAGAAACCGTGGAAATGTAAAGAATGTCCTAAGTCCTTTAGGTGGTTTTCCCACCTTAAAGCCCACTGCAGAATCCACACTGGAGAGAAACCTTACAAATGCAGTGAATGTGATAAGGGCTTCTCTCAGTTATCTAGACTTAAGAGCCATTATAAAACCCACACTGGAGAGAAACCTCACAAATGTGAGCAATGTGGTAAGTGCTTTTCTCGGCTGTCAAGACTTAAAAGCCATTACAGAATCCACACAGGAGAGAAACCTTTCAAATGTAAGGAATGTGGCAAAGCTTTTACCCACTGCACAGGTCTGAGTACACATCAGAAAATTCATACCAGGGAGAAACCCCACAAATGCCAGGACTGCGGTAAAGGCTTTTATCTGTTGTCAACACTTAAAGAACATTACAGAGTCCACACTGGAGAGAAGCCTTATAAGTGCAAAGAATGTGCTGAGTCCTTTCACTGGCTGTCAGGCCTTAAAAGCCACTACAGAATCCACACTGGAGAGACCCCTTACAGATGTGGAGAATGCGACAAATCATTTTCTCAGTTATCAAGACTTAAAAGCCACCAGAGGACCCATACCGGAGAAAAATCCTGCCAATGCGTGGAATGTGACAAATATTTTACCTGCTGCTCAGCGTTTAAAAGACATCAGAAAATTCATACCGATGAAAAGCCCTACAAATGTGAAGAGTGCAGCAAATGCTTTTATGTGTTGTCACACCTTAAGAGCCACTGCAGAACCCACACTGGAGAGAAACCTCACAAATGTGAGCAATGTGGAAAGAGCTTTTCTCAGCTGTCAAAACTTAAAAACCATTACAGAATCCACACAGGAGAGAAACCTTACAAGTGTAAGGAATGTGACAAATCCTTTGCCCATTGTACAGCTCTTAGTACACACCAGAAAATTCACACTGGAGAGAAACCCTACTCATGCAAGGACTGTGGTAAATGCTTTTATCTGTTGTCAAGACTTAAAGAACATTACAGAGTCCACACTGGAGAGAAACCTTACAGTTGTAAAGACTGTGGTAAGTTCTTTCATTGGCTGTCAAACCTTAAAAGACATTCCAGGATCCACACTGGAGAGACGCCTTACAGTTGTGGAGAATGCGACAGATCGTTTACCCACTGCTCCAGTCTTAAAGCTCATCAGAAAATTCATGCTGGGGTGAAACCCTATAAATGTGAAGAGTGTGGCAAGTCCTTCTATTGGCTGTCAAACCTTAAAACCCATTGCAGAACTCACACGGGAGAGAAACCTTACAGATGTGGTGAATGTGGCAAATCATTTACCCAGCGTTCTCTTCTCACAAAGCACAGCAGGGTCCATACTGGAGAGAAACATGAACGTAAGAAAGGTGTGAGAGCTTTGAATGAATGATTAAATCATCGAGAATACCAGGAGTTTAAAGTAATTCATAAGGGCCACGTGTAGTCAGAAAGCTCATACCAGAAAGAAATTACATGACTGTTCACTGTTGTGAAATCCTCAGGTCGTATACATTAAACATTCTACATTAGAGAGCCCAAGAAATGAATTGACTTTTTCCAACACCTTTACCTCGTGTTAAAAGTGTAGATACAACGGAAAACTCATCCTGAAGGAAAACCCAAGAAACTGCTTTAATAATGACTCATCTTTTATTCACCTTCAAAATGGTCATTCTGGAGCGAACCCCTACAAGTAGCAAGAGAAGGAGACGCGTTGAAGAGATAACCTGTGGATGTGACAGATGCACAAACACAGCCAGGAAATCCCAAAGAGAGTGCGGGAAAATCCAGCACCCAGGAAAGCTGGAGAAGTGTTCAGTCCAACGGAAAAGCACAGTGATTCATTCATACAGAAACACTAAGACGCAATAGACATTAGACAAACCAGGGTGTTGCAGAGAGGAAACCAAGTGAGTAAGTGAATTTGTCGCGCATTTGAGGGGAGAAGGATATTTCTGTTTGAGTAAATATGAAATTATTCTTACTAACATTTTTGGTAATACTAGTATTGGAATTTGCTAAAATGTAAACACGGTAGGTTTTTTTGCTTTTATTTTTTTCTTTTACGCTCAGATACATCTGTGCTGTCTTGCTTACAGAAGATTTTTTATGATGTGTATCAATTGTTGGTGCCTTTAGCACTGATGAATCTGAGGCAGGAGTGATGAAGTTAGTTAGTAACTGGCCACTAGCCATTTGGCAATGCCAACCATCTAGATAGACTTCTTATGGCAAATTTAGATTCTCCTGGGTCAGAGCTCCTCTTCAGACCGATGGTGCACAGACCAAGGCCCCTCCGCTTGATGACCTCTTGGAATACACTAGCCCGTGACAGTGTTCTGGTGCCGGGGAGAATGCTGCCATTGTGTGCTCACGAAGACCACTCTTTTTTTCACCACTTTTTCCACATTGTTTTCTTCATTGGTTCACTATTTAAGGTACAGCAGTTGCCACCAGAGCAGCATTCTGTCTTGAACCCCCCTGGCTCCAGGAAGTTTTCTTCCCCATCATTTGGAACACATGGTGGCTGAGTGTTTGTTCCGCTCTGCTGGAGTTGTTTTCCTTGTGTGGGCAGGATTCTGAAAGCCTAGCAGCTTACAGGTGCAGCCATTAGAGCCTGCTGCCTGCTGTTCCTAGGAATCTACTGTCTGTCAGCAAGACATCATTAATATCATTTGTTCCATGAAGAATCAGTGGCCTAAGCAAGCGTTGTTACTGTAACACAAGTGGATATGAGCTTTATTTTGCAGAAGGAAGAACACACTTACATTTGAGGTAAATATGCTGAACACCAGGAAGAGAAAGGGGCTGTCATAACCTTCAGCATACAAAGGCAGGGGAATCTCAAAAATATATTTTACAAATCTCTCTCTCAAAAAAAAAAAGGCAAATCCATGGAACTGATTTCTATCTGGGTGTCCTCAATGAAATTTATGTTGAAAAATAGAGATATCAGAGGAAAATAAAATCTAATCTTAGATAATGTCTAGATAGTTGTATTGAACAATGCACACTATGAAACTCACACCTTTGCTTTCTTTGAAAATGGCGAATAATATCTATAGGTTTCCCTATCTTAGTAAAGTAGCATTTCTCCTGTTGTAAAATACACTTTCTGAAAAACCACTTGTGTTTTTGAAATGTTCCACAACTCTGTGTAAGGTGATTTTTTAATATAAATAAAACATCTGTATTTAATGTTTTTACATGGCAATCCAGTGAGTAAATGTGAGCTAGTTTCCAACCTGAACCTCTCACTTTGTATTAATTAACATACGAGAAATACAGGATCATTTACAAGGCGTGGGAAAGCACTGGGATGCCTTCATTCTAAATCTTTCCACAGCACTGAAACCTTATATGATTTGCTGCCTGGTGTGACTCACTGGAAGAAGCCAAGAAGCAATGAGGAGAAGAAGGGAAGAGAACTGGAGGGGGACTGAGGCTCCTGGGCTCAGCTGGGGATACCTCCCCTTGCGAGCTGAAGTGCCTTTGCTGAGGAGGCCTCCTCTCAGAGCTGTGTGGCTCCTGGGCCCCTGTGTCTCAGGAAGCCCTTCCATTGGGACACTGTCCCACCTCAGAGCTGTGTGGTTCTGGGCTCCCGAGTCCCTCCTAGGACACTTCCCATCTGAGCAGGAAGGCCAACAATGTCTAATAAATCACTAAGAATTTTGAGAGTATTAACTCTTCATCACATTTTATGCAGAATGAAGGTTCCTCTTAACCTTTTTGTTATCTGTCTTCATGACACTACTGAATAGTTTGCATTGGAGTAATTAAATTTTTTGTTTGTTTGTTTTTTTGAGACAGGGCTTCTCTCTGTATCTTTAGCTATCTTAGAGCTCACTCTGTAGACCATGCTGGCCTTGAACTCAGGTCTGCTGGGATTAAAGGCATGCACCACAACCACTTGGCTACTTTTTTGGAGGGAGGGGATTAATTTTTTTATTTTACTTTGAAACAGTCTCCACTGTGTAGGCTTGCCTCCTGGAGGTCATTTTGTAGACCAGGTTTCCTTTAAATGGCATCGTTCTTCCTGGGAATAAGGTGTGCCCCACCATACCTAGGTTTAAAAATATTTATCAAACGACCTCGAGAGTGGAGATTTTCTCAAGATTTTTGCAGTCTTTGTCCTTTTTCACAGTTTTTTTTTTTTTATTTTAGAATCAATTTTTTTTATTTCTACAAAAAATGCCAGGAAATTTTTCATAGGGATTGATTAGGATCTATAGAGGACAAACCTCCTTCTACATTGCCCTCTCGGGTTTGAACATGCTAGTTGCGTGTCAGTTTTCACATGTCAGTGGCTGTGAGAGTTTTTTTTTTTCTGCTTGCATGTGTGTGTGCTTCATGTTGCTGTAGTGCCCTCAGCGGCCGTAAAGATCAGGTCCCCTCCTTGTGATCTCCAGTAAATACCGTATCTCCATGATGTCTGCTTCGGGGCCTGCCTTGGTTTCCCTCAGTGGTGGACTGTAATTTAAGATGTATTTATTTTATTTACGTACATTAGTGCTCTGTCTTCACGTGTACCAGAAGAGGGCGTCAGATCCCATTGCAGACGATTGTGAGCCACATGTTGCTGGGAATTGAATGTAGGTCCTCTGGAAGAGCAGCCAGTGCCCTTAACCGCGGGGCCATCTCTGCAGCGCAATAGACCGTAATTTGTGGTATGATATAAACCTATTTCTTCCCCATGCTGGGTTTGTGAATATGTTTTATGTCAGCAACAGGGAGCTAACTAGTGCATTCATTATTGGATACTTTAATCTGTAACCGTATTCACACACGTATCCCTTGGCACACACAGTTTATTCTCTTTCGTATTACTTTCAGTATATCCTGAAGGAAGAGCTCAGTTCTTTGCACATAGTCCCAGGTTCCGTTCTGGTAGTCGTTGTTCTCCGAGGGCCAAATACCGGGAACACATTAGCTTAGAGGTGCAGTCGCTGTATCTCCTGCGTCTGTTATAAAGCCCCTGTATGAACAAAGTGCGGGCAACGTGCCGTCAATCCGTGGTTACCGTCCAGCAACGTGCCGTGTGCAGTCAGCGGTTACCGTCCAAATAGATTCCATTGCCGTATAAAAAACGCAGGTTGAACTTTCCTTTTTGAGACTAAGGAGGCGTCTGGCGGGCATTCCTATATGCTGACTGAAAGCGGCGATTCACTGATGAGAGGCGGGGCCAGTTCTGCACAGGCCCTGGACATCCCCATGGTCCCAGGTGGATGCCCCCAGGGAGGGCCCTGTGGTCTCTAATGGTAAGAATGAGCCACAGACATGACACCAGTCCATGCTGCTGCCACAGCCCCAGACATGGCCCTCTGCTGGGACTTCACCATGGCCTCAGGTGGCCAGTCTGGCTACTCACCACAGGCTGCTCATCTCCACCCTCGTGTCTCCAGTTTCATCTCTCTTCATAACGCTCAAAGTGTTCCACTTCTCTTTCTCTCCCATCACCACACACTTGCACATTGTGGCTCCTGCTATAGGTGAGCCGTTTGACCGGCCTCTGGGTGACCACCTCTGTTCTTGGAGACAGGAGGGCCTCTAGGTGTCTACAGACCGGCTGTGTGGCAAAGTGGCCATTGGGTCTATGGAATGCCTCCCCAACTTGCACCACATGGCCTGCACCTCATGGCATGGGGGCAGCTGAGCCTCTGTGTCTACTGCCTGTGTAAGCCACGAGGCAGCAGGTCTCTGGGTGTTCGTCCAGCTAGCATAGCGTGGCATGGTGGTTTGCGGGTCTCCTGGCTTGGCTTTGGCTTTTAACCTCCACTGCGCTCGGCACAGCCCTGGAATACTGTGATGGCCTTCTTGTCACTGACTTCAGCATAGCAGCCAGAGGTCCCAGTCCAAGGCAAGTCAGGTCCTCAGAAACATTTTTGAGGATATCTAATTCTCATAGAATTTGCATAGTTTTTATTACAGTTCTTGATTGGCATTTCCGACCATACGAATATAGAAGTTATACGGCAAATTGGAATCCTTGTTTTTTAACACTGGCTATATTTACAAACCTTTATTATTTTGCTTTATAAGTGATTAGAAACCTGAAGTAAGCTACATGCAAGATAAGAGCGTGAGGACCTTACAGAAGGAGGAGAGTAAGAATAATGGGGCAGAAAGCCAGGGAAGGCTCTGCTGTATGTCCAGCTTGTACGTCATTTTTTAAAGAAAGGAGGAACTTGTGTATCAAAAATCTCAACTATTAGATGATGGCTTGCAAGTTTTTTTTTTTTTTTTTTTTTTTGTGTGTGTTTGTGATTATAATCCCTGTTTTCCAGAAGAAGGAACTTTAAATGAAAAAGTATGAAACAGAGACTCAAAGAATATTGAAAAGGAACATAAACAAAGGGAACAGACCCCTATTCAATTTTTGGTCACCGAACAACACAGGTCAGATGTCCACAGCAGAATTTTGAAAGCCAGCACCCTTGTGAGCAGCAGCAGAGGAAGCGATCGCAGCCCTTGTCTGGTTCCTGCCACTTTCTCAGCTCCACAGCTCCTCTGGCGAGGGAGGCTCTAAAGCCACCCAGGCTGAGGTCCCCACCGCTACACGGGGAAGGAATCCATCATGTATAACACAACAAAGCCCCCAGAGGCCTCTGCCTCTAGGCAACTCATCTACCATGAAGGAAAACTCCATCTGAGATGTTTGGCTTTTTCAGAAATTGTTCCATGTGCCGTGGTGCATGGAACAACTCTTCGTCATTTGTTTCTTGGCTTAAGTCATGACATTTTGGAAATGATGTGAAATATTCCTTATTCATCTCCTGTGTTGGGCATTGGGCATTCAGAGATGAGGCCACTGAGAGTGAACGGATCATGAGTTCACGGCCCTTCATACATTCAGCCAGATTTGGAAGGAAATGGAGAGCCGTACGAATGTAACCCACCAGCCATGCCAGCAAAATTATCTGGGATCAAAACCTTGAGACAGACATAAAATCTCAGCAGGAACAGAAATTTCACCCGGCAAAATTCAACAAGACTTCATGATAAAATTCCTAGAAGAACCTGGAATAAACAGAGGAAAGCTCAGCACAACAAAGGGCCTGTGTGTCAATTCAGGTTCACAGTTCAGTACAAAGGGGGAAAAATGTACAGCCTTGTCCCTGACACTAACAAGAGAAGGGCGCACACTCTTCCCAACTGTATTTAACCTAAAGATCTGACCTAGCTCAGGGGCTGGGATGAGGCCCAGCAGTTAGGAGCTCTGGTTGCCCTTCTGGAGGACTGGGGTTCCAGACCCAACACCCTCATGGCAGCTCACAGCTACTACAGTCCCTATTCCTTATACCTTGCCTGTTGAACCCATACTTTATCCAGTCTCTCTCTGTCATGTTATGGGTCTTTTGAGACACATCAAGCTTAATTTACACTGCTTCCAGGAGCACTGGGAGAGGACACTGACTGGAAGATTGGAGGATTACATGTAGCTCCACTTCTGAAGACAATGGCTCACTCTCAGTCCAATGACCACTAAATGTAAGTCCTCAGGAGGGGTGGACCGCGTGGGGCTCTCGCTTGCAGTGACCGTAGCGGCAGTCAGGTCAGGACAGTGTTTCCTGTCAGTCCTGTCAGTCTTGGTGCTCTTGCGTTCTTTCACCTCTTCATCCATGTTGCTGGGCATCAGCTTCAGCGAAGATGTTTCCTGTAGTACTGAGCCACCAAGAGCCACTTACGGTCAGCACTTTGACCAGAATGAGTCTCTGAAATAACTACCACTCACTGCAAATACGGAACGGTTTTCGGGGGCCTAGAGAGATAGCTTGGTAGTTAAGAGCACTATCTGCTCTTTCAGAGGTCCTGAGTTCAATTCTCAGCAGCCACATGGAGGCTCACAACCATTTATAATGTAATCAGATGCCCTCTTCTAGCATGTAGGTAGAACACTCATATACATAAAAATAAATAAATATTAAAAAAAGAACTGTCTTTGACCAAGACTAAGAAGAGCACTAATCTCGGGAAAGAAGCCTAAATATTTACAAGACATTATGACAATGAGCCCACTTAAAAAAATAACTAGCATTTCAACACATGGAATCTATGACCTCCCCACTGATGTGCATTTGACTCAGTTTACAGTGACATCCATGAATGATCATAATACAAATCCAATGAGTAACGAGATGGTGTCCCCACAATCCCAAAGATAAGAGTGACACATCTTTTCAGTATTGTGGCAGGCCGCGTCTGCAGCTCAGTGAGACCACAGATGATTTTTCTTCCAGCATTTCAGATAGTCTGCACTTTCAGGTCTTATGAAAGCTCACCAGCAGAGGAGAAGCTTCTTGTTGTTTTAAAGAATGAAAATCCCAATTGTTCAATTTTACCAATAAAGACTCGAGAACTAGATGCTGGGGTGAAGGGCTGCTAACTCAGAGAGGCAGGGAAAGCATCCAGCCGACCTCACTACTCAGCTCATGTCCCAGAGGATAAAGCCAAAAAAAAAAAATCCTTCTTCTCCACTCAGTCTTTAAAACCTCTCTCAAAGTCCCTCCTTTCTACTTAATCCCTGTCGGCTGGTTTCTTGCTCCACCTCTGGACTTAGGGTTAACTTGATTAACTCATTTACAGAAAGCTCTTGGATTAAAGGTGTGTGCTAGGGCTGAGCCACAGTACACCCACCTGTTCACTGTCTACACATCGTTTTCCCACAGACTTAAATGAAGACATCCAGCCATTCCATGTACAGGTATTCTCACTAACTCCATGAATTTCCTGGCTTTCCCAGAAATCTACAAGATTTATTATATTCAGAAATTCTTTAGCACACCCGCACCACAGTAAAGGGCATTCAGCCTTATACTCAAAAAAGAAAACTCATCTGCACTTGTTATACAGCATGAATTTTGTTTGGGTCACTAACCATTCCTGGCACACGTACCATTGAGGATGGTTTGCTAACAGAGTGTGGATTTGTAACAGGAGCAGGCAGCAGCTGCAACGGCTGTACCTCTGAGCTGCTGTGACACTGGAATCCAGCCCTTGGACAACAACACATGAACCGGATGGATTGAAAAACTGAGCACTTCGGCCATCAGATATCAAAATTAAGAAGAAAGAGGAACTCCTGAACCTGGCTTTGTTATAAGAGAATGGACATGGTGAGGGGTATGTGCTTTATGGAACAAAGTATACAACAGCAGATGTCTTAATTACATATTGAGTTCAAGGACCAGAACAGTGATACACTGTCTCAAAAACAAAAACAAAAACAAACAAAAAAAAAAAAACAGGAAGAGCCAGGTATGGTACCATGCCTTTAAATCCCAGCACTCAGGGAGGCAGAGGCAAGCAGATCATTGTGGGTTTGAGGCCAGCCTGGTCTACAAAGTGAGTCCAGGACAGCCAAGGCTACACAGAGAAACTCTGTCCCAAAACAAACAAACAAACAAACAAACAAACAAACAGAAAACAAACAAAGTTTGAGAAGGAAAGGGGTTTATTTCATGCCACAAGTTACAGTACATCACTAAGGGAGACCAAGCAGGAGTTGGAGGTAGAACCAAGGGCGGAGATCATGGAGGACTGGGTTCACTGTGTTGCTGTCTTAGGGCAGCTTGCTGTCTTATCCGACCAAACACCCACACTAAGCTAGTTCCTCACACATCAATCATTATCATGAACATAGCACAGTCATCACACGAGCCAACATGATGGAGGCAATCCTTTCTTGGAGGTTACTTCTTCTGAGGTGACTCTAAATTTCTGTCATGTTGACAAATATCAACCAATACTACTGTCTAACAAATCACAACCGTTTCATTCCTTGTTTGTCCCAAAGATCTCCTATCAATTTCATAATATAAAACACAACTTTAAATGTCTCCAAAACCTTTTAAAAAATCAGCACTTAAGTCAGCTGTCTCTTTAAAACTCAAGTATTTTAACTGTGGCTTACCCTAACGAAAATGTGTTACACACTTCTTATTCTGCTGATGACTTGCTAGTGAGGTGAGTGCAAGCAGACAGCAAAAGCTTCCTTCTTCCGTGTCCTTATACAGGTCTCCAACAGAACATGCAGGTGGTATGGCACAGTTACCCTCAAATCAACCTAAATCCAGCATCAAATATAAACACACTTTAGTGTCCAGAACACATGATCTCCTTGGACCCACAGCCTTGTGTAGCTTACTTCTTTTATTATGCAATGCTCAGCACACACAACTTGTCTCAGGTTCAAAGCCGCTCAGTTCTCTCTGTTCTTGGCAGTCATCCCACGGTTCTGCCAACTCCAATATACCGGAGTTTCCACTACAGCTGGGGATGCGTATTCATCAACGCCCTCTGTTCAGGGAACCTCTGAGCCTGGCACACAAAGCAAGCCTCAGCTGCGCTATGAACCCTTCAAAACCATGTACTCATGATTTGACAATTTCTGCCACAAGATGGATATGTAGTCTTGACCCAGGACTAGAACAGAAAATAAAGAATCTCTCTCTCCCCTTCAGCCGTGGTCCAGCTACTCTAACAGTGTACAAAAGGTCCAACAACCCAGTAAGTGTTCAGTCCAAAGCTGGATGTCTCAGCTGGCTTTTAGTATATGCTAGAACCCTGAAGAACTAGGCTCTAATGCCAGTAAAAGAATGACTTGCTGGCAAGGCGAGAGCCAAGAAACAAAGAGCAAAAGCTTTGTTCTTCCATATCCTTATAGAGGCCTCTAACAGAAGGGTTGGCTCAGATTATAGGTGGGTCTTTCCACCTTAAAGATCTTGATTAGAAGTAGATCTTTCCACTCCAAATTAAAGAAAAGGCTCTCAGGTGTGCCCCTCCATTTTTAGGTTTTAATTAATTATATGGTCAAACTGACAACCCAAAATAGCCATCACAAGTATCAATATTTCAAGAGTGCTTTGGCACTGGACTACTTCCACATCTGTTGTAGGTGACGATTAATATTTACTATTGATTTATCTTCTGGTAACACTGCTGTTAATCCTAAGCAGCTGTATAACCAAATCACCACAGACACTGGGTTTATTTAGTTAACCTAGAACACAATGCTGGGCAATAGTTACTCCATCCTAAACCTCCAAGCCCTAATAGTTTCCTAACATTTAGATTTCCCACATTATACTTGCTTTTTGTGAAATCTTAGGTCTGGTTCATGCTCCACATCCTCCAGGATCTCTCCTCCAGCTCTCTCCTCATTCTCCTCCCACTCATTTCCTGCCCTTTAGCTCCTCCCACTCATTTCCTGTCCTCTGGCTCCTCCCAGCTCAACATTGTGTCTAGTTGCTTTATTTTGGTCTGTTTACACAAGAGTTGAGACAGGATGCTTAGAATGAGTATCACAATGCAATATCCAGATTGAAACCAGAGAGTGTATGTATGTTTGCGGGGGAATCAGCATTTGAATGAACAAGGGTAAGGAGTATACATTTTAAAAGAACATTATACCAACACACATCCTTTTTTCTGTACTTCAAAATGATCTTCCAGGACCCCCCTTGAGGAATTCTAAGCTGTAGGCATATTACCGTGCACTGTGTAAAGATTCAGATGCTGACTTCTGTGCCTGCGGATCTGGTTGCAATCCTTGTTCTGAGAATCTCCTGTCTCAGTGCTGTGTAAACATTGCTCTCTAACTATTCCCTGATATGTCAGTAAAGAAGCTTAACAGCCAATGACTGAGCAGAGGAGAGAATAGGGCTGGACTTCCTGCCAGCCAGAGGAGGAGGGAAGAATGTGGGGATTCTGAGGTCCAGGAGACAACAGGAGGGAGCAGCTGGAGCTGAGAAAGCCATGAAATATCTTAGGGATTTATGCTGGGAAAAAGCCAGATTCGCTTAGAGGGTGAAAAAAGATTAATACTTAGTTCTTGTGCCATTAAAGCTTGTCAGATAAATATAATAGTCCAGTCTCAATTATTTGGATGCTGCCTGGGTTAAGTGAGAAACTGCAACACAATTTAAAAGCAACCACTAATATTAAGTTCTACATGATTATGCACATGTCGTCTTGTTCACAGGTTATCTCTTTAAAGCTTCGGAGTTTGATACTTGTACAAATAGATTCATATAGTTGAGTATGTCTTTATTAATACATTTTGAGTTTTATTTCATCATTATTTTTCTGATATGTCTACAGTATTAGCACCATGTAAAAGGATTTAACAAAAAGAACTGAAATTCATTTAACTTCTTGGGGCTTAGAGCAGAATTTCTGAGGTACAGCAGGACATGAGGAAAGCACAGTGGTATTCAGTATCTGTCCACAGGCAGCAAAGTACAGAGGGTCACGCATGGACACAGCCCCATTTACTGCCCCGGTCACTGCCGGCTTTGGAGCTGTATCTTCATTTGTCCCCTTATAAACCTCACTCTCTTCTCTATGAATGCAAGGAAGATGGAGCAGCCTCTTCTCTTTGAGTCCTTAAATCTCCACAGTTGAGCCCTTTTAACAAAACCAAGTATTACTATGACAGTAAGACAGGGAAAGTGAACACAGTCTTCCCTGCTTTGGTTAACCAAATGCTTTCTATTTAACATTAATTTTCTGGGGAGAGATCATTCATATGCATCTACTCACCCAAAATGGGAATGGCAACAAGGTATGCATGCCATTAAGTCCATCTCGTTGAACCAATGGGCTTTATTCATAGTATTTACAGAAACATGGGGAAAGGTGCTTACAGGAGCAAAATGGACTCAAAGACAGTTGTCATCAAGAAACTCCACCCCAGCGTGGAATACCACTTATGAACCCTGGACACATGAAGCACACTACACACATGTAGGCATGTCTACTGGTTAAAGGGCCCCCTGCCCTGGTGGTTCAGTTTGCCAAACCCCTTCAAAATAGCATGAATTATCTGAGTTTCTTCATGGAAGTTAAGCAGAGTGAATCTTGTCAGTTCCAGAGACTTCCTGAAATCATTTTTGGGGTTTTTATTTCCTGTCTTAATCATCTTGTCTTCAGGAAACTGCTACAGAACAGCACATTCTTCAGGCCTTTCCATATTGTCTTTATTATGAAGTATTTCAGGTTGAAAAGACAGAATGTTTTAATGAAAAATTTCCCACACTGTAACATTTTAATAATTTTTCCTTGTTGTTTTCTAAGATTTGAACATTACTTACAGGAATTCAGAAGTTTCTCATGTTCATAATGATTCTTTACTGTGGATCCTGCAATGGTTCCTAAGAACAGAACTTGGATAAAGCACTTGCCACATTATTTACTAATGGAGACTTCCCTACTATGAGTTTTCTGATGCTTTCTTAGACCTGAGAGGTGGGTAAAGACCTTAACACATTCACTGCACTTGTAAGGCTCCTCCCCTGTATGAATTCTCTGATGTATTCTAAGTTGGACTTTCTGAATAAAGCATTTGTCACAAACACTGCATTTGTAAGGTTTCTCTCCAGTATGAATTTTCTGATGTCTTCGAAGATCTGAGCCACTGGTAAAGGATTTCTTACATTCACTGCATTTGTAAGGTTTCTCTCCTGTATGAATTCTCTGATGTTTTCTAAGGCCTGAGCAACAGGTAAAGAATTTCCCACATTCACTGCATTTGTAAGGTTTTTCTCCCGTATGAATTCTCTGATGTATTGTAAGTTGGGCCTTCTGGATGAAGCATTTGTCACATTCACTACATTGATAAGGCTTTTCTCCTGTATGAATTCTCTGATGGGTTCTCAGGTATGTCAGCCGGCTAAAGCTTTTGCCACATTCGTTACATTTGTAATGTTTCTCCCCTGTATGAATTGTCTGGTGGCTTCTCAGGTGTGTGAGCTGGCTAAAGCATTTGTGACATTCACTGCATTTATAAGGTCTCTCTCCAGTATGGGTTTTGAAATGGTATTTAACCTGAGGTAGCTGATAAAAGCACTTGCCACAAGCTTTACATCTGTGGAGTTTCTCTTGGGAATTTCTCTGGTGAGTACTGAGGGTTGAGCAGATTCTTTGATTTTGACTGATGATGGGAAACAAACTTGAACAGTTTACACAGTCTTTAAACTTGTAAGGTTTGTCTCTGGAGTCTCTACTTTTACGTCTGCTTATTGTTGCGGAGTCAATAGAAGCATCATTGTGCTTACCACTTCTGTACTGATTGTAGCCTCCTGCAGTATCACTTGTGTCATGAGGTATACACTGGGAAGATTCATGAATCAGTTTGCCAGGCTCATTACATTTATAAGACTTCTCTTGGATATTCACATGCGGACAGATAATATGCTTTGGGCCTTGAAAGAGGGATTTTTCATATTTTCCATATATGCGGTGGTTTTCTGGAAATTTAGCACAATTATGGATAATATGGATAGATACATGATAACAGATTCAATAACTGATGTTTCCTTATGTTCTCTAAGGCAAGTAAAATAGAAATTCTTAGGGGTAGAGCTCTCAGCAGAAGCTTTTTGTGTTTCACTATTATTAAATGGATGCTCAGAAGAACCTCTGATGTCTATCAAACCAAAGAGACCAATGCTATTGTTTTCTTGTTCTTATCTAAACTACCTACCTTTCAGAGGGTAATAGAGCAATAATGAACTTTGAGAGAGCAGCTCTCTGAAGAGTCATATGAAGGATGTTTGTCTATTTTCTTGATGTTTATATTTTGAAACAGTCCTTTATGTAGCCTTCGTTAGATAGGAACATACTATGTAAACCAGGTTCTCCTGAAACTCACCCTAGTGCTAGGGTTAAAATCATGCTGTGCCAGGACTATGGAGACTGTATGTCAAAAAACAAACAAACAAAACAACATGCTTACTGCCAAATGGTCTTTATTTTAAAATACCTCAATCTTTAAAATTATAAATAGTTTAACTCAATAGTAAAATCAAAATAGTCCAATTAATAAGTGTACTGCAATGCCTTTCCGTGGTCTGAATATTTAATTTTTTAGTTTTATATTTTTCCATAAAAACTACATACGAGTGCTGGCGAGACTGCACGGAATATAGCATTGATTACTCTTGCAGAGAATAACAACAACAAAAAAAGTAAAAGAAGCACCATGAAAAAGTTATGTTCATTATCAGAATTCCCCCTTTTTTATAGTTTACATGCATTAAAAGTAGGTAAAGACAAAAGCTGAGTCAGGGATTCTACAAGAGGAGCACTCTTACCTACAAAGACTAGATTGCTGTAATTCTCTAACATCACATCCATGTACAAAGCTCTCTGAGCGGAGTCCAGACATTCCCATTCCTCCTGGGAGAGGTCCACAGTCACATCCCTGAACGTCAACGGACCCTGTAATGGGAATTTTTCTGTTTACCATGTATTTCTGGGGAGCGGAAAAAAAGTTTTCCTGGGTAAAAGAGACCTAAGGAATTAGAGCCACTTTTGTGATATAGGTAAGGTGTGGCAATTATTCAAGGACCAAAGTTTTTAGAAGTGCTGCAGAGGTTGTTCATAAGTAAAGAGCACTAGCTGCTCTTCCGGAGAACTCACAGGTGGTTCCCAGCACCCACATGGTACTAAACAACAGATCTTAACTTGAGTTCCATCAGGTCCGATGCTCTCTTCTGAATTCTGCAAGCATAACATTCATGCACACATCAAAGCAAATATTTTCAGAGGTAAAAATGAAAGTTAATTTTGATAAAGGATACTTTCATCCAGGCACAGTGGCACACACCTTTAGTCCCAGCACTAGGGAGGCAGAGGCAGGCGGATCTCTGTGAGTTCGAGGCCAGGTCAGCCAGGGCTACACACAAAAAAAAACCTGTCTGGAAAGACAAAACAAAGCAAAAAAGGGCTACTTTCTAGAACAGTCATACTCTATACTTTATTTCCTATCTCTGTGAAAACAAGATGACATTATATACTCTCACAATCAGCAAGCCTGTAGGGAATGTAAGATATAGATTTGAGGTCTGGATGCAGAAATGTAATTCTACAAAGGCTGTATTGATATCAAACAGGATCACAGTGTCTCCTCTCAGATGGCAAAGTTATGATGAACAAACTTCCAAATTCCAAGTTATGATGTGCTTCCAAATTCTGCAACTGTCAATCTTGCTCAAATACGGACACTAGACCAATTCTGTCTGCAGCTGGCTCTCCTCTGACTCTATTCTAAAACGCTCAGTTCAGATACTGAGGCATATGTAAGTGCTATACCTTTTTTAGAACAAATATGGAATGCAGAATTTATGGATGAATCAAAAGTCAAATAGTCTTTTTTTTAACTGTAAGGAGTATAAAGCACCACTACATACAACCAATGTTCCAAACAAAAAAAAACCCAAATATTTTGTGAATTTGTAAGACTATTATAACCATGAAGTAATTAGGAAAAAGAGCAATAGACAGCATTAATATTATCTAAATTTTTCTAAAAATCCATGCAACTGATACAGATGAATAACAATTTCAGAAATTCCATATGGGGCTTCACTGTAGAATAGTTAGAAAGATATCTGTAACTAAATGACCTGTGTGAAAATTCATTCAGATAAAGTAGACAGATTATCTGTGATTGAAACAAATGTATTAAGGTGAGTGAAAATTATGCTAAGTTTTCATTAATTCTTTATATAAAATTGTTTATGAAATTGGCTTACTTTAAGTAAAAAGAAAAAAAGAAAGAAATTGGCTCAATTGAAAATCTGAATCTTAGCTAGGCACATGCCTTTAATCCCAGCACTTAGGAGGCACAGGAAGACAGATCTCTGTGAGTTTGAGACCAGCCTGGACTACAAAGCAAGTTCCAGGAGATCTAAGACTACAAAGAGACACCCTGTCTTAGGGAGAAAAAAAAGGGGGGGAGAAGTAGAAGCGGAAGAGGAAGAGAGGAGGAGAAAATTTAAATCTTATAAATTCACCTCTTTCTCACTACTTGAACTCAATCATCTAACAGGATTTTAGGTTGCATAGATAAGTATCAATTACGAATCTTCCTTTATTTTTCAAAAACTGGAAAACAACAGTTTATATACTGGCTCTGTTGTGAATCAGAAATGGAAGACTGAGGGGCAGAGAGATAGCTTGATGTAAACGACACTTGCTGTTCCTGCAGAGAAACCCATTTTAATTTTCTCTACACACACGGCAGCTCACTGCACTGCCCAGGTTTTGGGGCCGTCCTCACGCACCCATAAACAGCACGCAGGCGTGCAGTACACATGAAAACACACAGATGAATTCTCACAGGTAAATAAAACCTGTCCATCCCAAGCGCTCTTCAGAAATACAACCTATGTAATTAATACACAACTTTAGGGAAATGACAGACGTAGGGTGGAGGAGCCTTCCTCCTCATAAAGGAAAAAAGAGAGCAAAGTCCCTAATATGGACATTGGCTTATGCTTGAAAGCTGATGGCTTATGCACAGCACAAAGTCTGTGCTCTCTAGAATATTCTTACTGGGATATTCCACATAATGCTATACAGAGGTGGGACCAGCAGTACATACACCCTGCTGGAAAAATAAAACAAAAGACAAAGAGAACACACTGATCTGTCCATTGAGACTTAAGACTGAACACTGGAATAAGGAGCAGGATATGAGCAGCACCTTTCCTGAGACAAATAGATCTCCGGTGCCAACCCACCAGCAAGGAGAAAATCTGCTTTTTTGTAATGTACATCTTTTCACAGAAAGATCAGTTTTAGGGCAAGAGCAAGCAACATGCTCCTTCCATCTTGATGCTCTCCAGGGTGCTGAAATGTTTACTGAGGGTTACATTATAAACCTAAATAAATAAGTATTTATTAAGATTCAAGACAGTTTGTTCCTCCTAATTCTATTTTTTTCCACAAATTGCTCAGTAATGTCACCAAAAGCTGTAAGAATTTGCATGTCCACTTTCATAAGCCTGGTTCTGGGGATCTGACCATCCCTAAAATATAAGCACATGAGACCTACCTTCCTCACTAATAATAAGGACTTCAGTCCATCTTCTCTAGAAACTGGGAATCAATGCAGTTCTTTGAGCATCATTTACCATGGAATCATTCAGAACTGCAGTCTTAAGTCCATGAAAAGTGTATCAATCAAGGGAAGATACAATGGAATGTGGCTGAGCTAAGTATGTATCAAAACTGAAAGATTTAATCCTGAGTCCTGGTTATCAGAGAAGAAGAAAAACACCACACACACACACACACACACACACACACACACACACACACACACAAGAAAATGACACTTTAGATGACATTACCAGAGGCAGAAAATTAAAAGAATGAATGGTTTTAATATAAAAACAGTTTTCAAAGAAATCTAGACATGACACTGACCTGGGGCACATTTACCAGAGAAGGAACCATTTCTCAGTCGCTTTTCTCTGAGTTTCTGTCTCAGAAGCAAAGACCGGAACTCTGGTTGAAATTCCACCTTCAGGGGACAACAATACAAAACCAACATTAATCCAACTCTGTTACAAATGATGCCAAACCACAAAAAGAGACCCTCAAATCAAAGTGATATAAAGGTCTTGTCAACATTTCTACAGAGAGGAGAATGGAAGAGTATATTTAGAGCAGGGAAAAAATTAACTGTGATCCTCATCACTGCACCCAGAAACACAGGTTCTTAATAAAGGGCACTTGAAGAAGGTTATGAAATAGCTGGGAAGCAACAGACTATGTCCAGCACACAAAACCAGCAAAACACTATTGCCTACTAGAAGGAAAGAAAAATACTAATAGTAATTTTACCAAACACATTAAAAAAATAACCACATAACAAATAAAAAGCCCTGTGTATGAAAATCTCAGTAGAAATGAAAATGTAAAAAGACACAGTGCAATAGATTTTTGTGATAAACTTCCTTGTATTAATAAATCAGTGTTGGGCTGTATGTTTATTATTAGCTATATAATTATTATAGTGGTATTATTTAACCCACTATCATAATCAATAAGACACAGACACCCGTTAGATTTTGTAATTGCTGTGTAACACCATGGGCTGGGCAAATAATTCCACCTACGCTGTCTCAATAACCTCACCTGTTGTGGATATAAACATGTTTTTGTTTTGGTCCCAGGTGTGGGATATGGGGCTGATTCAGATGGTCCACAGCAGCAGCCTATTTGCTTCGTGTGGGCTCTGACAGGAGCTCTTTGCCAGCTGTGATAGTTTAAATCTGAGAACTCTAGAGAGAGAATAAATGCCAGATCCTATTGAGTGGGAAGCACCGAGAAAGAACAAGGCTGCGCCTCCTTCCCCCTTGCTGCTCCTGGTTGCTGTTGTGAGACAAGAAGTTGGAGTTCTCGTGAAACAAAGATTGGACTGGCTCTAAGGAACCCAACGACCCTAATAATCAGGAAGCAGCTAAGAAAACTACGCCCCCTCTCCTAACCCTTCTCTCCTTCCTGGTGTTGGGGTGTTGGAAGGGATTGGGGTGGAGTAGGGAGAGACAGATGTAAGAAATGTAAATAAATAAAAGAGTTGAAAAACAACAAAAACACTTATCTACCTCCTAGCCCCCATCCAATGCCACCTGCCTTAACCATTCTTACCTGGGCCACCTCCCATCAATAATCTTATAAATACTTGCTTATCCTTCATCTGCATCATTCATTTTCCATGACGTTTTTGGAGTCCTTCCCCCTTGCTGCTCCTGGTTGCTGTCTCCTCTCCTTTATTCTCCTGTCTGCAAAGCCAGGGAACCTTAGACATACCTACTTCCTTTTGCCCTGCCCAGGTGTGGCCTTTTTTATTAATCAAGAATAATGCCTTAGGCAAGTTTACACAACAAGGATACTGTATCTGGGCAGTAACCAGATCTTGAGGGCCAGAAATTAGCACCAAAATACAAGCATCAGACCAACCCCCAACACATCCTAAAGGTACTAGGAAAAAAATGTAACCCGGATCACCAAGTAAGAGGCATGCATGTTATTCCTACGTCAACAGTACGCTGCAGAGAAAACTGAGCAGCACTAGCAGAAAACCAAGGAGAGGAGATGCCATACTCATCAGTCTTAGTGAATCCAGAGCCATAAAGGGAGCTAGAGAGATTGGCCCACACCTTTAATCACAGCACTCAGGAAACAAAGGCAAAAGGATCTCTGTGAGTTTGAGGCCAGCTTAATGTATAGAGTGAGTCTCAGGACAACCAGGGCTACTACACACAGAGAAATCCTATCTTGAAAAAAAAAACAAAAAACAACAACAAACAAAAAACAAAACCAAAAGAAGAGAAAAGAGATAGATAAATTTGAAGAAGACAAAGGATAAAAAGGAAGAATAGGTAGAAAATTAAAGCACCAAACTCATTTTTAATGATAAAACTCCTTACAGACGCCAGGGGGAAATACAACACTTGGTATAATACAAAACTATTTCCTGGCACACAGCTCTGGGAGAAGCCCACTCTTCTACCAGAGGCCATGCTGATACCGGAGCCCCAGGTCAGACCTGCCTGAAAACAATCACGTGGACACAGGAAAATCACACATATAAAAATTAAACCTAAGAAAAGAATATTCCTGAGAGTATCACAAGACCTGATCATACTTCATATTACAGAGGCGCAAGGACAAAGACAGCATGATGCTGCACATGAAGAAATATGTAGAAAACTGAACAAGAATCCAGAAATAAACTCACAGCAGAGTAAAGTAAGGCCAATATGTCAAAGACAAACTTAGAATAAGAGAGTTCCTTTGAACATTTTGTGCTGGGAAAATGATTGTCCGTGTACAGAAGAGTGATATTAGAGCCATACCTCTTGCCCTACACAAAAATCAACACAAACTATTTCAAAGGCCTTCCTGAAAAACCTGAAATGTTAAAGGTGCTAGACCCAAACATGATTAAATGCTTACTAATTCAGAAATAAACAAACACTATCTGAAAGATTCCGAGATTCCGGGAGCACAAAAGAATAACCCGGAAAAAATGACAGACATTTCATGGAGTACCAGCTGCAAAGGTCAGAAAAGTACATAAAGGATGGTAGCTAAGGAAGTGAAATTGAAATAAATGCCTAACAGGCTAATTTAGAAAGAGACATAATTCACACACACACACACACACACACACACTCACATCTCGTGTTCATCCATGTGTCATAATCCTGGATACTCTTACTGAACAATGCCCTCATAACCATGGCATAACTACACATGTAGGTAGGTCTACGTCTGTATCACACTGATCATACTTTGTGTCATCCCACATAGTTCTCTTGATAGGGGATGGACATACGTAGCAAACGCTCAAGTGTTTTAGAGTAACAAAGGGAGAGGAGATGAAACTTAAAACTAACTTCATTCCATTTGATCATACAAGGTCATGGAATCACCCAATGCTATGTTCGCCTCTCATGGCTTGAGGGAACTGCTCTACTCTTTTTCACTATGTGGAAATAACAAATAGGTGCAAATATCTTAAATGATCAATTTTAAATAATAGTCAAGAAAGTTTTCAGAGAATCTAGGTAAATGAAATATGAAATTCTCTCAGAGTCAACCATGAATATTTATTAATTACACTAAGAATTCAAAAGATACTCAGTGAGTTAAGCCAGAAGAATGGCAACTAAGTGAATTGGGATATTAATACTATCACCAAAAAATTACAACAATAAGAAGAAAATCAAGTTTTAGTTCTGACATCTACAACATGAAGCAAGAGGTAGAAATTTTCAATTTTGATGAAGGAAACAGATATAATTCATAGCTCCACCTATCCTATCTAACAAAAACCAGGGGACAAAGGAAAAGAAAATTATATTTGTCAGGGTTCTCTATAGAGTAACCAAACTTATAGAAGGAATCTCTCTATTAGAGAGAAAGGGAAGAATGACTCAGAAGCTGCAGTCCAGCTAATCCAACAATGGCTGACTGTGAACAGAAAATCCAAGAATTCAGTAGTTGCCCAGTTGGCAAGACTGGATGTCTTAGCTGGTCATCGGTATCTTAGAATCTCAAAGAAGTAGTCTCTAATGCCTGTGAAGGAACAGACTTGCTAGCAATGCGAAAGAAAGCAGGCAAAAGAGCAAGCTTCCTTCCTCCATGTCTTCCAGAAGAGGCAAGGTACATTGTAGATCTGGATTAAAGGCCTGATTTTTCCCCCAGCTTAAAAGATCCAGATTAGAAGTGGATCTTCCCATTTCAAATTAAGCAAAAATCACAGAGAGAGAGAGAGAGAAAGAAAGAAAGAAAGAGAGAGAGAAAGAGAGTGAGCAAGCACATTCCATTTTGTGCGTTAGTCCCAGATCCAGTCAAACTGACAATCAAGAATAGCAATCACACCTTAATATACAAAGCAGATTAGGACAAATACATGCAAAGATAAAAATCACTGACCAGTTGCCAAGATGAACATGAAAAAGAGATTCTAAGAACTGTTGATTTCATGCCAAGATGCAAGACTATTTAAACACCTACAAACCAATCGATTCAAGGCACAAAATATGTCAACTCAGGGAAGAAACAATGTTAGTAGATCCATGAAAGGTCTGTGGCAAAATGTCACATTGGCTCGGTACAGAAGCTCTGAAGAATGGGAGAACACAAGGAATATACATCAGCATATGAAGACAATGAGCCAAAAACCTAAACCTAACGTTTTATGAATCGAGGACAGATGCCATCATTCTAATCAGAACAGAGACAAGAGCGCCCACTCCCTCCTCGGTATCTCAACACAATGCAAGGACAGAGAAAAATTTTAAATTATCCAAGGAGAAAATTTAGAAGGTTAAGTGTCTTAGTTAGGCTTACTATTGCAATTACTAAAGCAATTTGGGGAGGAAAGGGTTTATTTGGCTCACATTTTCATATCACTGTTCATCATAGAAGGAAGTCAGGGCAGAAACTCAAATAGGGTAGGAACCAGAGGCAGAAGTCAATGCAGAAGCTGTGGAGAAGTACTGCTTACTGACTCGGACCTCATGGCTTGCTTTCTTATAGAACCCAGGATCACCAGCCCAGAGATGGCCCCACCCACAATGGACTGGACCCTTGTAAAATTTAAAGTATGTTAAATACTTTCTTAGTCCAACAGGGAAGTATCAGGGGAGTTATAACCACATCAAAGCAAAACCAAACTCCAACAGTGTAAACCACTCAATGTCCAATATCTGGACTCCAAACACCACCTTCTGGGCTCATCCAGAAGACTTGGGTTAGTCCTCCAGCTCCCCCATCTGCAGCACACATAACAGGTGTCGCTGGCTCCACTCTGCCACCGCCACCGCTGCTGTTCTTGGGGGTCTTACTGCATCTCCAAAATGTAGGGTCAAAGTGCAACCGGCTTGCAACGGCCCCTCCTTGGCTCTCTTCAGGGACTCCAGACCTTCCTCACGGTGCCAAGCCTAACTTGCTCTCCGTGATCTCTTCAGGCATTCAAAACAAATGCCACCTGGGTAACCTTTATAC